AGCGGGGGGGGGGGATTGTTAGGGGTGGCTGAGGGCGTCCCCTCCTCTCGGGCCAGAGGCCAGGCAGCCGTCCCGAGCAGCTCCCCGCTTCTTGTGGGGGGTTTCTGCTCGTGTGGGGTGGGGGCATCCAAAATGAAGACCTTGAGTGAGCCGCCTTTCTACTTGGTGGGACAAAAGGCAGCTTACAACCAAGGCTCCCTCTAAGCCGTGGAGTCCTGTGAGCAAAAATTCCGCTTTGTGAGTTACTAGCATTAAAGTTGTGAGCCAGCGATTTGGCTCCTGCATAAATATCAGTTTGCTCTGGAGCCATCTCTTCCTGAGCAAAAAATGTGTGAGCCAGAGACTAAAAAACTGTGAGCCTAGCTCACACTAACTCAGCCTAGAGGGAGCACTGCTTACAATCAACGCCCCCTCTAAGCCGTGGAGTCCTGTGAGCAAAAATTCCGCTTTGCGAGCTCCTGGCATGAAAGTTGTGAGCGAGCCATTTGGCTACTGCATAAATCAGTTTGCTCTGGAGCCGTCCCTTCCAGAGCGAAGGCAAAAAATGTGTGAGCCGGAGGCTAAAAAACTGTGAGCCTAGCTCACACTAACTCAGCTCAGAGGGAACACGGCTTACACTATAAATGACAAAAATTATAGAAGTCACATAAAAAGACTTGAGAGTCCAGTCGGGCGCCTTTAAGACCAACATAGGTTTATTCAAGGTATGAGCTTCCGTGTTAGGACGGCCAGTAAACAAACACCAAATGCAGTCCTAAATAAAAGCGTCTTCCGCTGCCTCCTGAAGATGGAAAGGGAGGGGGCCCCCTGAAAAGGCCCTGCTCTCGTGTGCCCACCCGACAAGCAGCTTTGACCGGTGGGACAGTCGGTCCCCTTTCTGGAGAGCCCGGCGGGCCACGTTCTCCCTTCAGGTTCAAATAAGTCTCACGTGCCTGTCTTGTCTTCTCCCCACAGAAACTGGAGTGAATCGGGACCGCTGGGTTCACAGTCGGGGTTTGTGAGTCTGTCCTCAGGTGCCTTTGAAGAGGTGAAGCGCAGACTGGCGGCTGATGAAAGGGGTCCTTCGTCTTCTCCCCCCACCCCTCGCTTTGAGTAGGAAAAGAGGCCACCCCCGAACCTGCGGTTGTGTGTGCAGGGCTGCAGCGGGGGCGGGCTGGACTCAGGGATGGCCACACTCCACTGGAAGAAGCGTCTCTCTCTCTCTCTCTCCCCCTCTCCCTCTCCCCCTCTCTCTGTCCTTTCCTCATCTCACTCCTGTCCCAATTGCTCTCTCCATTCTTGGGTACTCTGGTGAAGTGCAGGGGTTACTGTGCAGGACATTGGACCTCCTCTTAGAAGACTTTGTTGAACAGCCCTGACGAAACCAAGCAGGGAGCTTTCCCCGTTCTGTCCTTGCTCTGGCCTCCTTGTCTTTCACTTCTGGCTGAATGTTTGCCGGGGGGG